TTAAAAAGGGTGCTATTCTTCAATATTTTCAAAAATTCAGTGCTATTTGTATTAAAACATTTTCGCTAGCTTATCGTAGATGCTTCTCGCTCACCTCTTGCTCGAGCAACAGCCCGCATTTTTGAATTATAACGTTCTTTTTCCCATTTTTTCTGGAATTTCCTCATTTTAATCTCATTTTTCTTCTCCAATCTTTACACCCATATAAAATTCCAGCCTTCAATCTTAACTTTCACTTATAACATTCATTATTTGGTTGATTATTCCAGATTTCATCCATTTTTTGCATATTTTAAAGGTAAATTTCGAAAACCCAAGATTTTTCGATTTTTTGCATTTTTTTTGGGTTTTTCATTTTTTGCTTCAATTGCATTTCGTATTTGGACTCATTTCATGAAGTTTCATCATGCAATTCGCCATTTGAGTGCATATTTCTTGATTTCTACATAGTTTAGCAAGCATGTGGCATTTTTTTTTTTTTGAATTTTTGTTGATTGAGGCTTAGCAATTGATGGAGATTGGGTTAGGAGTTGTTGTTGGTATGTAGTTGTGGTGGTGTTTTTTGTTTTTTTTTGCCAACTTGGTTGGGCGCTTTGCCTAGATTGTTCGTACCACGTTTACGGTATAATGTTCGGTTTTATTTACACTTATTATCACTTAGTTGATTTCCATTCACATACTTGCTCACGTTAGGATTGTTGATGTCTTTTATGTTGCCGTTGGTGTTGACACCACGAGGTGACGTCACGTCACCACGGCATGTCGTCACGGCATAGGTGATTAGAGTTCCAGTTGTAGAAGAACATGGAGTTCTTCGTTGATCCATAGGAGATAGACGAATTCATACAGTCGGGAGTTGCTAGAGGAGCGTGCAATCCAAGAGGGCTTTGAAAACTGCAGCTAGGAGTTGGTGCAGAAGCACGTAATCCATGAGAGCTGTGGAAATTACAATCAGGAGGTCAAAAAGTACTAGTCGCAGTCGTGTCTGGCGGACTGTAAGTTCATAATTCGTTTATAGTGGATTTCTGACCGGCAAAGTACCCGGAGTTTTTACATAGTTGGGGTTTCTTCGCGATCGTTCCTTGTGTTTGTTTATTGCTTTCATAACTGCGGTATTTTAACATAGGAAAAATTAAACTGTAATCTAGATATAATGAATAGTGACTTATGTCTAATTAATTATGAAGTTTTTAATTCTGCATAATCACCTCTTCACCCTCTCTAGGTGTAGTTTGGGTCAAACCTCGTTATTTCACGGCGGTCAGGACGTTGGCACAAAATCGACAAATGATGGAATAGAGACGACAACCCAGAGAAGGGCAGGAGACAAAGGCTAAAGATCACGAAGAGAAGGAGCCAAGAGTAATGTCAGAGGCACAACCAATGTCAAAAGAAAGAGGAAGCCATGTGTTGTGTCTCAACGCAAAGAAGAGACCCCATTTAAATGCACCACATAACAGGTTAAGTAATGGGTCGAGCCGTAGAGTGGTCTTGGTCCTTCTTTGTAACTTGGGTTACCAATTGTGGTTTTCGACTCAATACATGAAGTGTTTCATTAATTGACTTACGAAAAGTCTAGTGAATAATTCCGCTTCAACTCAACACATGAAGTGTTTCATTAATTGACTCACGAAAAGTCCAGTGAATAATTCCGCCATGAATATTCATCATCGCTCCAAGGTTCATTTGGTATCAGAATACCCAACAAACATGCTTAGAAATAATAAAGATAACAAAATATTTATAAATCTCAAAAACAATAACCATGCCAAGATTTAGCAAACATCTCAGTTTGAGAGGTTGTTGTGAATTTCACCTGGTACTCAGTAAATTCTATGGCTATCATTTTTGGAGTTTTGTATGTGGGTTGGAGTAATTTGTTAGCCTCCTGAAATCAAATGAAGAATATGATTAAATCCATCTGGAAAAGGAAGTATATGATACCATGTTTATAACTACTAATTTTAACTTGCACCTGAAGATGCATGCAGCACCATAAAACTAATTTACAATGTTTATAAAAGAAACGGGGAAAATAGAATGACTTGCAACTATTACCAACATAAGCTGTTCGCGGAGTTTGATGCACCATACAGGTTGTTCATATTTACATATTAGTAAATCCTTCGACTGGATGAAGTACGGAAACACATTTAAGTAAAAATCACTATCTATAGTAGTAGAGCTCACAATGCAGGTCAACCAAATGATCTCCACTGCTACTGGCTACTCTATTAGCTTATAATCAGAAGACAAGGGCACAAATAACTAAAGAAACCAAGATATTACCCTCGGCCCTCAATAATTGGAAATGAATGTTTAGTGGTAATAAAAAACTGAGTGCCTGTATATGTTGTTCTACAAAAATATTGCAAACCAGAAAGAGATGTTGCCTTTGACAAAACAACGTGTCAAAAGAGTTATTGCACACATACATATACATATACATATACACAGAAATTCTCATCATTGTTTTCAAATGTGTTAAAATATCTGCATTATTTTCCCTTTGGTCCCAGCCCATAAATGGAAACTGTGGTTCTCAATTTAATCCTAGTAAGAACAACACAAAGCCATAGAAACTCCAAAAGAGACAAAATGCATTGACAACGTATATATTGCAATTATTTCTTTCATACATTTTCTCCTGCTAATATGTTACTCCGTCCTTCAGCTTCCCGAACAGAAAGGATCCAGTGCCAATTGATGGCAAGACTCCAACAACAAAATTATCAGCATATTATTCTGTAGTTACAGATCATTGTACTCAGGTTTGTGAAAATTGAAAAATGTAGAAGCATCTAAACAACTCCATTAAAAAAGAGTATTACACAATGGCATATATATAGTAAGCATGTAAGCCGAAGTGAACTAAGCATAATTGAGAATTTTATTCCAACAGTATATGGTGATAAATCAAAATGCAGTCAGAATCATTAAGTGAAAAGCTATGCAAACTTAAGTGACTGGTAAATAGTACAAATCTTGAAGTTCAAGTTTAGCTATAAGATAAATAATCCTCTCATGTCTTGAAAAAAAGGACAAAATAGAAATGTAACAAAAGAAAAACCTGGACCAGGCTAAATTCTCAACAGAGAATCTGGTTGTAGTTTTTTGGTGTAAAATAACACAATATGGTATTATAAATCATTATGCGGATAGACTACAATGAAACAAAACATTTTCTGATTTTTGAGAAGTTTGCCACCAGAACTTTTTCATCAACAAGAAAGTATAAGAATTAATCAGCTAATGTTGCTAAAAGAAGGAAGAAAATAGAACACCAATTTGACACATAAAGAAAATGGAATTCATTCAATACTTTCTCATTGCGTTTTTGGTGAAACAGCTGCACATATATATATATATATATACACAATATAATGTGAAAAACCAATGTAAGGGTCAAAAAACTATTGCTCATTAATCATACAACAAATAACTTAAATGGAATATAATCTAACTACTCAGCATGTGCTCCAGCCGCCTCCACCTCAGTGCCATTTCGGATGAAGGCAATCTTCTAAGTCCTTCTAAATTCTGTTGGCCTGTGACAAGTATGAAATTCAATAGCCCCCCTCAAGGTGGAGAGTAGATGTCTTCTACTCCAACCTTGGATAAATGAGAATAGAGAATGCTAGAACCGAGACTTAGTAAAAATATCAGCAATTTGTGCACCTGTCCTAACATGTTTTGTAGTAACGCTTACTTCTTATATCTTTTCTCGCACTAGGTGGCAATCCAACTTAATATGCTTGGTCCTTTCATGAAATACCAGATTAGCCGCTATGTGTAAGGCTGCCTAATTGTCACAGAATAACTCAGCCGGTTGTGGATGAGATATTTGCAAATCATCAAGAACAAATCTGAGCCATGTTAGCTCACAGCAAACTGCAGCCATAGCTTTGTACTCTGCTTCTGCTGAGGATCTAGAATCCTTGTTTTTTTTTTTTTTATTTGTAGGATACCAATGATGAACCAATGTAAACACAGTACCCTGTTACTGATTTTCGAGAATCTGGACATGCTTCCCAATTTGAATCACTGTAGTCTCTAATTTGCAAATCAGAAGATGAAGAAAAAAATAGTCCTTGGCCGGGTGATCGTTTGACATATCTAAGCACCTTATGTGCTGCATTCAGGTGCGACATTCTAGGTGTCTGCATATATTGACTCAATCGATGGACTGAATAAGAGATATCAGGTCTGGTGATTGTCAAATAGAGCAACCTTCCTATCATTTTTCTGTACATTGTTGGATCAGGAAGAAGTTTTCCTTCATCTTTGGACAATTTCATGTTTTGATCAAGTGGCATTTTGGTTGGAGTAGCTCCAAAAGTTCCCGAATCCCCCAGAATATCCAGTGCATATTTCTTTTGACAGATTTGAATTCCTTTTACTGATCGAGCCACTTCTATCCCAAGGAAGTATTTTAAGTTTCCTAATTCCTTAACTTTAAACTTGTCATCAAGTGATGCTCTAAGTGAATTGATAACTTCAACATTATCTCCAACTATTATTATGTCATCTACGTACACCAATATGACTGTAAATGAATCACCTGTGCTTCTTGTAATTAGCCTTGGATTGAAAAAATCCTGACCAATAATAAAGATAGACAACTTCAAATACCATTGTCCAGATACTTGTTTTAGGCCATACAAACTTTTATTAAGCCTGCATACTTTTCAAGTTTCCTCAACATGATAACCAGGAGGCATTTGCATATAGACTTCCTCCTCCAAATCTCCATGCAAAAATGCATTATTCATATCGAATTGGTATAAATACCAGCCTTTTACCGCTGCAATTGCAAGCAACGTTCTCACGATTACCAATTTTGCTACTGGTGAGAACGTCTCGTGGTAATCAATTCACTCTAGCTGAGTGTATCGCTTTGCCACCAGCCTGGCCTTATACCTCTCAACTATTCCATCAGCATTAAACTTCACTTTATAGACCCATCGACATCCTAGGATCCTTCCCAGGTGGCAAATCAGTCATATCCAAGTCTGGTTCAACTCAAAGGCATTTATCTCAGCCTGCATAGCTTTACACCATTCAGGGCTTTTGATAGCTTCTTGATAGGTAGCTAGCTCAGATTGTGTGAGTATGGAAGAGATAAAGGCTTTATGTTTCTCAAATTTTCTGTGATATGAAAGTGTTGCAGATAATGGAAATGGACTACCTGGCTTTGTAATACCTTTCTGCTTGCAAAAATCCTGTGAATGAGCGTGTGAGGATACTTGTTGGCAAACAAAATCTTGTAGGTAAGCTGGTGCCCTTCTACTTCTGTCTGATCTTCTGGGAATGTGTAGATTTCTTATGACATCAGGTGATGCTTCAGACTCATCTGGAGGCTCATCAATGGGTTGATTTGTTTCTAAGAAATTCTATGCTTCGGTCAGGATTTTGTATTGGCTTCTCTTGTGATTGGGAATTGGAATAAGTAGGATGATTAAAAACAATTTTCCCTGGTTGAGAAAAAGCTAAGGTTGCAGGGTTTGGTAATCTGTGAATGTTAGTTGATAGATCACCAGCTTCAGCATTGGTCATTTTGTAAGGAAATATTCTTTCATGGAATACTACATCTCTTGACAGGAAAATTTTGTTGGTTTTCAAGTCTAGCAACTTGTAACCTTTAGTTCCAAAAGGATACCCTAAGAATACACATTTTCTTGCCCTTGAATCAAACTTGTGCCTATTGTGTGCTTGTGTGGCAACAAAAGCAAGACAACCGAATACTCTAAGGTTGGAATAGCATACTTCGGCTTTAAAAAGGACTTCAAATGGTGTCTTGTTGCCAAGAATGGGGGTTGGTATTCTATTTATCAAAAAGACTACTGTTAGAACACAGTCATTCCAATAAAATTTAGGCAATCCACTCTGAAATTTCAATGCTCTTGCTACATTTAAAATATACTGATGTTTTCTTTCAGCAATAGCGTTTTGTCGAGGAGTTTCCACACAAGTAATTTGGTGTATGATCCCCATTTCAGAGTAAAATTGTTTTAAGCTGAATTTTCCCCATTATCAGTTCTTATGACCTTCATTTTGGAATGAAATTGTGTTTCAATAATGGTGTAAAAGTTTTTCAAAGTAATAGAAACATCAGATTTAAGTTTCAACAGATAAATCCAAGTGCATAGGCTATGTTCATCAACAATGGTGAGAAAATATCTTGATCTATCATAAGAAACATCAGTACATGGTCCCCACAAATCACAGTGAACCAAATCAAAGCAATTTTCTGACTTATGATGACTAATATTGAAAGGTAGCCTATGTAATTTAGCTAAAGGACAGATAGAGCAGGGTGTTTTGGCGTCTTTTGTCTTAAGATTATGATGTAAATTGGTTAGGTGCAGCTTGGAATCTGAGGGATGTCCTAATCTAAAATGCCAGAGATCAAAAAACTCTAGCAGATCTTGAACCAAACTTGTAGAGGGAATTTCCTTTTGCACCAAATGATACAAGCCTTGTCTCACTTCACCCAGACCAATCGTCTTCCAAGTTGAAAGGTCCTGCACATAACACAAATCAGAAGAGAAAATGAGGAAACGTTTGGATGTTTGAGCAAGTTTCCTGGCAGATATAAGGTTAAAAAAAAGGTTGGCACGCATAAGACATCATAAAGTATCAGGTCATCTGTGACTCTAACATTCCCTATGTGAGTTGCTAATGTTACATCACCATTAGGCAAAATAACAAACTAGGTGATTTTCGACTCAACGGTGGTGAGAAAAGAATCTGAACAGACCATATGGTCTGTAGCTCCTGTGTCAATAACCCAAGGTGCAACTGGTTTATTCTTTGTATTGCAGGTAATAAAGACATATGAATACTAGAGATTTTCTTATATTGTGGCTTGGCATTTTACAATGTGTGCATCCTGGTTTATCTTTATTAGCCTTAAGACATCTCTCCAATGAGTGACCTGCCATCTTACAAAAGGTGCAGTAATACCTTCTTTGGATCCCCAGATTTCTTTTATCCCCTTCTTTTGGGTAACTCCTTGACATCAGTGCCATTCCTCCATTGGTAGGTTCATCAAAAGAGATGTCCCTTCTCTTCTCCTTTTGCTGGATTATTGAGCACACTTCATTCAACTTGGGAAATGGTTTTATCAGTAGAATTTAAGTCTTGATACCCTTGTAAGATAAATTGAGTCCCATGAGAAATTTCATTACCCAATCTCTTTCTTGATTGCTAACTACTCACTTCAGCCCTCCACAGGTACAGTTGGGGATGGATTCGTAGTTCATCAGTTCATCAAGCAATGTTTTCAGCTTTGAAAAATAAGTACTCACCGTGTCTTGACCCTGCATTAGTGCTGCAATCCCTTGCTTGACCTCATAGATTCTGGGGGCATTTTGTTGAGCAATGCATTGCTCTAATTCAAGCTACAGTTGATGCGCTGTTTCTGCATATAAGGTGCTTGCCTTAATGTCCATTGTCATCATGTTTTACAGCTAGGTAATGACAATGTCATTACAACGAAGCCAATGCTCTATCAAAGGGCTATCGAGATCAGTTGTCTCACAAATGCTCCCATCAATGAAACTCAATTTGTTCTTAATCCTAAGAGCTATCTTCATGGATCTTGCCCAAGAGTGGTAGTTAATAGAATCAAGCATTTGAGTGACCAGCAAAGCACCAGAGTTTTAATTAGCCCCTATGAAATATGGACTGCTCGCAAGAAATGGATCGTGTGTATTTGGATTTTGATTTGGGTTTGAGTTTGAGTTTTGAGATGCTATTTGATTTTGATTTGAAGTGCTATTTTCTTCACTTTCAGCAATTTTGCTCTGATACCATATAAGAATTAATCAGCTAATGTTGCTAAAAGAAGGAAGAAAATAGAACACCAATTTGATAGAGAAAGAAAATGGAATTCATTCAATACTTTCTCATTGCGTTTTTGGTGAATACAGCTGGACATATATATATACAATATAATGTGACAACCCTATACAAGTGTCAAAAAACTATTGTTCATTAATCATACAACAAATAACTGAAATGGAATATAATCTAACTACTCAGCATGTGCTCCAGCCACCTCCACCTCAGTGCCATTTCGGATGAAGGCAATCTTCTAGGTCCTTCTAAATTCTGTTGGCCTGTGACCAGTATGAAATTCAATAGAAAGCAGACTGGAGCAATCAAGAAGAGTAGCATACAGCACTTATGTACCACATTTAATACTTCTTTACCACAAACAAATCAACTCGAAAAGTTGTAAAAACAAAAAAGATACACTGTATATATAGATATGTGTATAAAAATCTCAAAACTTTATTGGAGCCCCAAAAGCTGGATCAGCTATTCTGTTATTTTGAAACATCATTGCGATACTTTCTAGCAGTAACTGCATTAACACATTGCAATCAATCGAGAAACTTTGAACGTGAATAAAGAATTAATACTTTGAAACACCTCTCTGAAAAAATAAAACTATAGGAGAGGACTGGAAAATGACAACGGTCACATAGCTGAAAGTAAAATATTTGGGAAGTTGGAAAATCAACATTATTTGAAGCGTTAAGTGTCAAATTTTAGAACATGACTAAATTCCAAAAAGAAAGAGCAAAAAATATTAGCATATCCCTAGCTATTCCTAAGAGTACTTCTACATTTGTCGGTGAAAGAGGAAAAGGGGTCAAGATTTTTGCCAGAAATTAGTAAACAGATGACAGAAAGTCCATGAAGTGCAGTAATATCACTCGTCTTTAACTAAGTGTATGTGATTACACATAAGAAATAAATGATGGCTCTATAGCTCCAAGCCATCACCCAATGAAGTAAATTAAATCCAGGGAAAACGGATTTCAATCGTCCTCATAATTCCCTTTCCTGTTGCCATATTTTCAATCAAGCCATGATCCTCCAGACGATACAATTACTTCATTTTGGTCACCCATCCAACATGCCTGGGTTTCTATTTCCATTTCTATTGGAGTAAAAAGCACCACAGGTCTTGTATATGTAAACATGGAGAAGATTTAGAGGTTGCAACACTACAAGAAAAATGGATTTTTGCAACATTTAAAAGGCAACATTCATTCATTAAATATTGCTAAAGGGGGTCTATTGCTACGTTTGGGTGAGTGAATGTTGCTAAAGGGGTCTATGTAAACTTTTAAATAAACGTTGCAAAAAGTGACTTTTCACAACGTTTATTGAAGACTTTTTGCAACGTTTAAAAAACGTTGCGAAAAGAGAAGTCCATTATTTAGTCCAATCAACGTTAGCCCTAATCTCATATCCGCCTCTCATCCACCATTTTCCTCTACCAGTTTCCTCTTGTTTCTCGCTCTTTCATTCAAATCCACCATTTTCTTCCACTACCAAGATGGCAGTCGCCGACGAGAGAGGCCTCCACGTGTTGCGGGGAGTTGGGCGGCTAGGAGGAGCTGGAGAAAAGGTGAATTATCCTGTTTCATTTTTCATTTACATGGTTGATGTCCTAAGGCTTGTTACAGTAAAAATCATATTCTATTGGTCGGATTCATCATTTTAGTTGGTAAAATTTTTCTCTACTTGCTGGAGTTCTTCATACTTTCGACAGCACGAGTCATATTTCTGTATGTATGTGTACAGGATTTTGGGATTTTGATTTCGTGGTTTTGTTTTGAATGTGATTTATGTTATTGATACTGTTATTGTTCACATGCTTGGTTCGATTCTTGACGGAAAACAGATTGGTTGTTCAATGTTTGTCTTTTCGTGTAATTTTGGTGATTTTTTTCTTGAGGATGATCTTCATTTATTGTTATCTTGACTATAATAGGTGGGCAGCTTTAATTGAGACTAAAAATACTAGGTTTCATTTGATTATAATAATTGTTGTTGAAACTGTGAAGTAATTGTCAAAAGGACTCTATGCACTGTAAAAATAAAAAAAGTTACACTTTTGGGGTGGCTGATGAACGTGTAGTACTTACGGGTGGGAGATAGAAAGCACAGTATTTGCATTCTCGTCTCTTGAAGATGTATGATGAATTAGTAATTCATTTCTGTCTGAAAATCTTGCACAGTAGTTTCTTGATTTAGTTGACATTGATCCCTATTTGGCATCTGGATTATGAAGTGTCAAAAGTAGAACATTAAACTTATAAACATGTTTTGGGTTATTTTAAATTGGAAACAAATGCAAATAAATTTAGGAATTCTGTATCTGGAAGTAGTGGAAATGTGTTTTTGCATATGTAGCAATGGAAATTCAAAAGCAAAGTTAAAGGCATTAATTTCTTTCGCATGAGCAACATTGAATAGTTTATTTTTCAGAAGAGCTTTAGATGCAAAACCAAAATCTGAAAAATAAGAGTGATTTGGACATTATGATTGAACTCTCTCCATTACTCATTTATGTGAATAATGTGTTATTATTCAGTAATTCCGTCTGATTTTGAAATGTTGATAACTTTTTCAGGCTAATGGGCGCTGCTACGCTTTAGAAGTATGTTGATAGCTTGGGTGGGATAGGAACCCCTGGAGTTGGCTCAAGTTCTTCTTATGCCCCAAAAGAATTGAACAAAGAAATAATGACAGAGAGGGTAATTTGTAAGTATTACCATATGATTTTAAATGCTGTAGCAATGTATATATAAAACGTTTTTTTATGCAAAATTGTTAAATTTCATATGAAAAGAATAAAGGATTTTTTCAGTATCATTTTTGTTTTAAGGGATTTCTGCAACTTTTATATTTGTCGAAAAACATTGTTAAGATAGTTCATAGCAAAGCTAGATGTAAATTTTCTGTCTGAGGTGGATCTCTCAAGTGGTTTCAACTTTATAATTACAATCAACAAAATAGTTATGTAGCAGTTTTATGGAAGGATGTTAAAACATTTACAGACATCAAAGGCGGTCAAATGTTCTTCTCAAGAAGCCTATGCCTGTCAATAGGTTCAAACCCAATTAACTCCCTAAACTCGTCTCATAATGTTATTACAGAATATTCTCAAGGAGCCTATTTCCTTGTCATCC